TCCATTTGGCTTTCCCTGAGTTTCTAGTTTGAAATCTCAGTAAATCCCTTCTTTGAATCCACTAGGATTATTGTCCATACAATTTAAGGAGCTTAGGTAGGAAAACAGTATTAAAATGTGGCCTTAGGCTCCCCTAAGACCCTCTCAGGAGGCCCCAAAATTGAAATTATTTTCCCACCTTTGTTGAAATATATAGGCAGCCCATGACTTACAACAGTTTGTTTACTTACCATTCAAAGTTACAGTGGCACTGAAAAAGGTGACTTATGACCGTTTTTTCACACTTTCGACCACTGCAGCATCCCCATGGTCATGTGATCAAAATTCAGGCACTTGGCAACTGACCTCACATTTATGACCGTTGCAGTGTCCCAGGGTCATCTGATCACCTTTTGCAACCACTTGAACACTGGGCACGAGCCAACAAAATGAAATTCAATGGTGAAAAAAGTAAAGTTCTACATTTAGGCAAGAAAAACCAAATGCACAGGTATAGTATAGGGGGTACCTTGCTCAATAGTAGTAACTGTGAGAGGGACCTCGGAGTCCTAGTGGACAATCACTTAAATATGAGCCAGCAGTGTGCTGCAGCTGCCAAAAAAGCCAACACAGTGCTAGGCTGCATTAACAGGGGGATAGAATCAAGATCACGTGAAGTGTTAATACCACTTTACAATGCCTTGGTAAGACCACACTTGGAATACTGCATCCAGTTTTGGTCACCACGATGTAAAAAAGATGTTGAGACTCTAGAAAGAGTGCAGAGAAGAGTAACAAAGATGATCAGGGGACTGGAGGCTAAAACATATAAGGAACGGTTGCTGGAATTGGGTATGTCTAGTTTAACGAAGAGAAGGACGAGGGGGGACATGATAGCAGTGTTCCAATATCTCAGGGGCTGCCACAAAGAAGAGGGAGTCAAGCTATTCTCCAAAGCACCTGAAGACAGGACAAGAAGCAACAGATGGAAACTAATCAAGGAGAGAAGCAACCTAGAACTAAGGAGAAACTTCTTGACAGTTAGAACAATTAACTAGTGGAACAACCTGCCTCCAGAAGCGGTGAATGCTCCAACACTGGAAGTCTTTAAGAAGAGACTGGACAGCCACTTGTCTGAAATGGTATAGGGTTTCTTGCCTGAGAAGGGGGTTGGACTAGATGACCTCCAAGGTCCCTTCCAACTTTATTATTATTATTATTATTATTATTATTATTATTATTATTATTATTATTATTATTATTATTATTATTATTATTATTAAACTGTGGCAAGACAGGCGGTAAAATGGGGCATAATTCACTTTATCTCGCTTAGCAACAGAAATGTTGGGCCTCGTTGTGATCATACGTTGAGGACTGCCTGTAATACAATATTAAAATCCCATCAAACAATCGGGAGAAATAGAAGTAGCAAAAAATGCATCATTTTCAATACGCCTGATATCTCTCTTGAATTGTTATGATTTATATTCAGGGAAGATCTGCTCAACAATGTTCTCAAGAATGAACAAATAAATGAATGAATGAATGCAGCATGTCAGCAATTTTGGGTTGAGATTTGACTTTTGGCATTGCACTTGATCTGAAAGCCTGCAAGTTTATATTTCAAAACGTCGAATGTTTTTGGACAAGACCAAGATCGTTTAAATAGCAAAGTCATTTAAAGAGAATAGTTTCTCACCCTGTAAAATTCTCCTTCTCTGGGTTAATCTATTATAAACAGAGACTTTCATTTGCAAGCCAGAAAAAGGAGAGCCCCTGGGATCCTCCAGTGCCTGACACCTGTCAGTCGCCTATTGTGTTTTATTTATTTATTTTTTATGAAAGGAAGCCCACCTAGAACTCAAATCACTTTGATTATTCTATCTTGTCTCCTTGACAAATTTGATTTTCATCTCAAATGCCTCCCCTTTCCCTTAGCAAATCTATAGATCAGTGTTTCTCAACATTGGCCATTTTAAGACGTGTGAACTTCAATTCCCAGAATTCCTGAGCTAGCATGCTGGCTGGGGAATTCTGGGAGTTGAAGTCCACACACAGTTTAAAGTTGCCAACACTGAGAAGCACTTCCAGAGAGACTAGAACAGTGATGGCGAACCTTTTAGAGACCGAGTGCCCAAAACCCGGGCCTGCCCCGCCACCCACTCTGCCCCCTGCCCACCCCGCTCCATCCCCGCGCCCCGCCCACCCACAGGGCCACCCACTGCCTCTACGGCCTGCCGCAGATCACCCAGGTGGCCCAGCAGCGCCATGGCAACCCCCGTCCGCCTGCACCCTGCAGCATCAACTGCGCGCAACGGGGTGTGACGGCGGAGTCTTGTCCCAGCTGCCATATCCTTGGCCGTGCTGCTCTGCACGGGCTGAGCTCGGGGGTGACTCTCCTCCGGGGGGGGCTGCTAGTGAAGGCTCTGAGTGCCGCCTCTGGCACGCGTGCCATGGGTTCACCACCACTGTGCTAGAAAATGAATGCTGTTGGCTGTCTTCTCATGAAATTCTGAACCAGCCCATTTCTCTAGCTGTGCCTTGCAAATCCAACTGGTGTAGCTGGTTTATGGTTCCACCATTCAGGCCCCCGTACCTGTTTCCTCCGACGCTGACAATTTGCTCATGACAACCCACTAATTAGTGCAGGATCCAATCTATTGTTGTATTACAGTGCTATACTTACATTGACTGAGACAGAATTGCTCTAACTTCTGAAGTGAGTCAAAGAGTGTGTTTTAAAATAGCCGAGAAACATACCATGACACACACACACAGAATTAGTAATTTGGAGAAGGAAAAAGACCTAAAAAAAGATAACTGAACCTAAAATGTAAACACTTCTTTCACATGAGATCTCTTATTCCCTGAAAGAGTGGGATCGTGGTTAAAAGGAGAATGGATCATAGGAATACGAAATAGCTTTTTTAAGTGGCTGGGCCATCTGACCATGTCCTGTTATTATCTCTACAGAGGCTTAGACTGGATCAGGTTCTCATTATGCTGCCAAGACAGCTGTTGTTTTCTGTAACCTGAGGGTGAATATAACCTCTAGGTCCCACACGTTTCCTAAGGGTTGTCTGGAAGTCCTAGCTTCAGGCTTCTTGTGGTTCACAAACTTGGGAAATGGGGTTTGCACAAATCCCTTCCAAATCCTTTTTTCTTTTTTCTTTTTTTTGGTTACCATTCACGCCTGGACTCTAGATATACACACAGCCCAGCAGATAGCTTGCACCCACAATCATGGCATGGGAGAATTCTCATGCTGACCTTGTTGTCATTCCAGGCAGACCTGGAAGCCTGTTTATTTTCCCAGGACTGCAACAGAGGGTGGGGTGTTGCATCCACTCCCAGCAATGGATTTGTTGAATTACAATAATATGCCTTTCTGCCAGCTGAATCATCACCCAAGCAATGTCTGATAACAGACAAATCTGCAGGAAATGGCTTGGTTTGCAAAGAAAGGCTACTTGAGCAAGGTCAAAAGTATCTTGGCTTTTACAAAATAACTTTGCCTTCCCCAGTTACTTCTTTCCAGGTTCTCTGCTGCAAAGAATGGAATAGAATGGAAGAATAGAATAGAATAGAATAGAATAGAATAGAATAGAATAGAATAGAATAGAATAGAATAGAATAGAATAGAATAGAATAGAATAGAATAGAATAGAATAGAATAGAATAGAATAGAATAGGAATGGAATGGAATGGAATGGAATGGAATGGAATGGAATGGAATAGAATAGAATAATAGAATAGAATAGGAATAGAATAGGAATAGAATAGAATAGAATAGAATAGAATAGAATAGAATAGATCAGATCTGGAAGGGACCTTGGAGGTCTTCTAGTCCAGTCATCTCAGACAAGTGATTGTCTTCTAGTCCAGTCATCTCAGACAAGTGATTGTCCAGCCTGCTCTTAAAAATCTCCAGTGATGGAACACCCACGATTTCTGGAGGCAAGCTGTTCCACTGGTTAATTGTCCTCACTGTCAGGAAGTTTCTCCTTAATTCCAGGTTGCTTCTCTCTTGGCTCAGTTTCCAACCATTGTTTCTCGTCCTGCCCTCTGGTGCTTTGGAGAATAACGTGACCCCCTCTTCTTTGTGGCAGCCCCTCAGTTACTGGAACACTGTTATCACGTCTCCCCTGTTTCTTCTTTTCTTTAGACTAGCCAAGCCCAAGTCCCGCAGCCGTTCTTCATATGTTTTAGTCTCCAGGCCTTTGATCGTTTTAGTTGCTCTTCTCCGAATTTTTTTTCCAAACTCTCAACGTCGTTTTTTGTGATATGGTGACCAAAATTGGCTGCAGTTTTCCAGGCGTGGTCTTACTAGGGTTTTATAAAACGGTACTAATACTTCGCGTGATCTTGATTTTTTGCCTCTGTTTATACCACTCAGGATTGTATTAGCTTTTTTGGTTGCTGCTGCACACTGCTGGCTCATAGTTAAGCGATCGTCCGCTAGGACTCCAAGGTCCCTCTCACAGTTAGCCTCTGGTTCCTGCAGGAAAACGAGCTGCAAAAACAATTGGTTCCTACTCAATTAAGGTGGAATAATGAACAATTACTAAAATAATGATTTGTCTGCATAATTACTAGAATAATGATGTGTCAGGAATAATGCATAATCACTGGGAAAATTCTGTGTCAGTAATATGTNGAAACGAACCTAATGTATTACAATGTGTATTTCAATGTGTAGTTCTTTGTTCCTGAAAGAAGGATAGTATAAAACTGAAGTCTGATCCCGCCCTCAGGGTTCAGAATTGCTTGTCTCTAATGCTTCTGAACCTGCACAATAAATCTCTCTGCTAAAAACCCTCTGGAATTCATAAAAGTCCTTTCGTTTTCCACAAGACAATAAAAACCTCACAAATTTCATTCCTTCTCTTTTTTCATTCCTGGCAGAACTGTTTCTTTCCTAGCAGGCGAGGGCCATGGTGGACTGCCATGTTTTGCATTGTTTCTCCTCTTCTTCCTCCTCTCCTCATCTTATCCCCTTTCCCCCTCTTTCCCTCTAGGAACCAAGAACGTAATTGAGGCCTGTGTCGCACAAGGAGTCCAGTATCTGATTTACACCAGTAGCATGGAGGTCGTAGGACCTAACACAAAAGGCCACCATTTCTACAGGTATGAGCTACTTTTTAAATAAATAAATAAATAAATAAATAAATAATGTCGCGCTCCATGAGGCGAAGAAAACCGGTGAGTTTTTCTACAATTTCTGCTGAATTTCCCTTGGGTTGGACTGGAAGACGACCAAGGCCTTTTTCAACCCTATTATTTTATGTTCTGATTTGGTCAGCTTTGGAGTTTCTTATTCTTTCGAGCCTTCTCCTACTGTTTTAGCTATAGAAGGGCCTAAACATGCATATTTTCTAAATAGAAGTGAACACCTAAAGAGTTAACTGAGTTTCAATGCTGGCTGTAGAATAACAGGGAGTTCCCCTGATTTAGGCCAGACCCGCATGTTTTGGCCCTGCTCAAGGGTTTCCCCCGGGTTCTCCTAGCAACGCCATGACAACAGGGATATAGTTACTAACAGTCACCATGGAGACAGATGGGGAAGGAGTCTTAATGGCATAACACTCTCTAGGGGTGTGGGCCAAGCTGTTGGTTCTGTCCTCCCTTTTAAAAAGTAGGAAAAGTTGACTGTTGTTCGTGTTTAGAAGCTTAGTCACCCCAAGGCTCGCAAATTTGAAAAGTTTTCACTGCAGGGTACAAGTGATCCTCAACTTACAACCATTTATTTGGTCACCATTCAGTTACAATGGCACTGAAAAGAGTGGCTTATGACCGTTTTTCACGCTTAATACCCGTTGCAGCATCCCCATGGTCATGTGATCAAAATTTGGACCACGTGGCAACTGGTTCAAATGTATGACTCAGGTGATTTACCTTTTGCGACATTCTGATAACCAAAGCCAATGGGGAATCCAGATTCACTTTACAACCAGGTTACTAACAGCTGCAGGGATTCACCTAACAGTTGTGGCAAGAAAGGTCGCTTAACCACTGTCTTGCTTAGCAACAGAAATTTTGGGTTCAACCGTGATCGTAAGTCAAGGACTACCTGTATCCTTGTACCTTTGATGGCTGCATATAGGAAAAACCTATTATTATTATTATTATTATTATTTGTGGCTTTTCTCGTGGCCAACGGGCTCACCACGAGAGGGTCCGGGCAGTCCCGCGCCGAACGGAGTGAGAACAAAGACACAGAGTCAAATTCTCCTCGGGATGAGTGAGCCCCGAGCTAGCTCGAGACAAACCTTTTATTGAGGTTTGTTAGGGGTGGGTTTCAAAAGTATCAGAAGGCAAGCATATGATCCTGATTTAACCACTCATAATTTGACACATTGGGTCGGATATACATATATGGCAAGTGTGTTTACAAGCATAGCTAAGTCTATATGTGCAAAGTAGTTTTTTCTATCATG